AGTAAGATGAGGCAAGGTGAGACAGAACAAGAACTATGGGATGGTAGGTGTGCAGCTCTGGCCACAAGGCCTCCCTCTGTAACTTATGAGCGTCCCCCTTGTCCTGTGCTGAGCTGGAAGTCTGAGATGTGCAGACGCCAGTTGAGGGGCTCTACAATATCTGTGCCTTTGAAACACTGCAGACCTTTCCCATCAAAGCCACATCCCACCAGAAAATGCCAGGCTCCAAATAGAGCCACATGCAACACATCCAATCATAAATGGCATGTGAGGCTTAAGCCTGCCCCTGAAGTACTCCGGCCCAATGAGCATCCGGGCCGAGACTCTAAACCTCCCCCATTCCACCTTGGTCTTCCTGCCTGGGACATTGAGCATGCTCAGACTTGAGGACGTTAAGGAACTGCTGAGGAGCTGCTGAGCCGTTGTGGAGGGGGTCTGTGGAGTTCATCTGGTGAGGGCAGTGCCAGGCCAGGATGGCCAGGCTCAGGGTCTCCTCAGAGTCTGGACATCCTCACAGCCCCGGTTCTGGGGAGGCTGAGGTGAAGACAAACCTGCCTTCTTGACAGCAGTCTCCTTTAGACCAGGTCTAGTGAGGCTGTCTTCTCAGAGACTGGAGACTCCTCACAGCCCAGTCCTCATGAGGCTGAGATGCCCTCAGTGAAGATCCACGATGGCAGGATGCAGTTCTGAAAAAAGTTATAGGCTTTCATCCAGATTATTATGTGTTTAACATTTATCGTATTTCTTTACTTCATCTTAGTGCCTGTGGGATCTGCAATATCCCCTTTTTCGTTCCTTATGTGAGTAACTTTAATAATCTTTCATTTTTCTTTGCTAGTGTGCCTAGAGATTTATCAGTGTTGTATAGACATAAATCTTTTTCTTAACTCTTGTCATCTTTATTTGTCAATTGAATTTTAATAATTGACTAGGGGCTTCTTATTAACTTTCTTTTTAGTATTTATATAAAATTTATGTCAGAGATTACAAATCTACTTAAGTCAGGTGTTAAGTATTTCATATCTATAATCCAAGCCTTTGGGAATCAGGATTCCATGAGTTTGAGAACAGTGTGGGTCACACATGTAACTCTGGATACACTGGGCTATGCTACAGAGTGAGATCTTATTGTAGAACATTCAAACAAAATCCAAATGTATTCAGTTTCATATAAAGTCATTTAATGTTTTAGTTTTTCTAATCATGGTTTAGCTTATTCCAGATATTTTGTTATGTTTTATTTCCACTTCCATACTTTTACTTTCACGGTGACTTTCTCTTTTAATCTATTTATTATTTTAAGAATGAAATGTTTAATTTTCATTTATTGGGGATTATCAAGATACTGTTCTGTTATTAACTTGTATTTTAATTTCCCTGTAGTCAGATTGCATATATCACTTTATATCAGGTTTTTTTTATGTTTATTTAAACCTGTTTAGTAGCTTGTAACATGGAGTATGTTGAAAAGTGACTTGTGTGTTCAGGAAATGCTGTGTTAAGCTGTCATTTGAGGAGGTGTTCTGTAAATGTCTGTCAGGTGAAATTGATTGACAGCAGTGTTCATGTTCTTTTTGTCTTTAATGACTTTCTCTGCTTTTCATTCTTTCTTGTCTCTTTTTACAGTAAAAGAACTTAATTTGATTATAATTTAAATTTTTCGTATTACCAAATCTTATCATGTGGATATATCAGGAGATAAATGGAATTTTCTATTCCAAATACAACATATTGAAGCCTTGTTATATAGGCGTGACTATGTTAAATTTTCATTCATAACCATCGTTACAGCATCCATTGTACCTGAAATGTTTTAGTTTACATTGAACATAACGTATATGTTCTTTTTCCACCTCCTTTGCAGCATTTAAAAAATTAGTTTGGGTGAAAAATGTAATCATTTAAAGACACTTAAAGCTGTAATTATGGGGCAATCTGAATATTATTTTACTAATGTGACAAATGGGTCTGAGGACCCAAGAAAATGACCATAGAATCCATAGTATTTGAGCCAGGCTGTAAGTCCTGCTGAAAATTTATTCTAATTGAAGTGGTTGCCGTGTATTATTCTTAGTGGTCAGAGCTTGACCTCATATTACTGCATGGCTGGTTACCTCAAAGTGGTCCATTTGGTAAGGAGAATGTACTTGTGAGTACCTAGTTTAACTTTGCACCCATATTTGTATTTCATATATTTGTTCGCATGTGAGATACTGTCTCAGATATGCTGATTGTGAAAAATTGTTTTCATCATGCAGAAAATGAAACTCTGCTCTCTATCTTCTACCATACACAAGCTCTGCACCAAATGTGCCATAGACCAGATACCCTGAAAATGCCAAAGGACACTGTAGAGAAAATACTCCCATTGCTAAGCACAGGTAAGTATTTTCTGAATAGGACTCTTGTCCAATAGTAAATGAGACCAAAAATCAACAAATAGGATCTCATGAAATTAAGACTTTTTATTTCATCATAAGAAAATATAATTTAAGTGGTAGCGTACAGAATATGAGAAAATCACTAGTGTAATAGTGGGATGAGAGCCCTGGCATTCTAGACCCCCATGAATCTTTCTAAGTGAATGCTACAGATGTTGTGTAGAACTCTAGAAAAGGAACAAGGAATTCTGGCTACAGCAGACGATATAGAGAGGTTGTGACAAAACAGGTTTAATTCTAGCATGGTGATATGGATTATTGTAATGGAGAGTCTCTGGGTCAGGAATGTGCAACAGGCTAGACACTCTGAAGATAAAATTTAGACCACTTTTTTTTCAGAGTTGAGGACCAAGACTAAGGTCTTGTGCTTGCTAGACAAGCACTCTACCGCTGAGCTAAATCCCCATCGCCTGACTTTTAAGTACATACTTTAGAGAAAAGTCAGAGGGAAATGGAGGACTTAAGACTACCAATGTCTGATGCCATCTCATTGACTTCCCTAGAATGTGTTGGACTGATCATTTTTGTCTTTGGGGCATGTTATTTTTATAAAGACAACAGACTTAGTAGGGGGGTTCCTAGCATTGAGCTCACCAGCACAAGGACACCCTTATCAATGATTAACCTGGAAATGTTTAAGGAAGGAGGAGATGCAGCAAGTTGATGAAATGAAATATGTGGAAGTGCCTGCAGTTGAGAAGTGAGGATGAGGTGGGTCACTCCATAATGTTAATCAAGAAAAGTCAGAATAAGGAAAATGAAATATGGGAGAAACTCTGGCAATATGTGAGAAAAGTCTGTATTTGTTAATGCTTTGGTGATTGTCATTACACATCACCCTGGGAGTTTAAAAAAATAAAATGGGATCCTTCTTTGAGAAATCATTTCTACAATTGATAAAATATTTTATATGAAGTTCAACTCTCTGAAATCTTGTAAGAAAAGAGGAACATTATGGACCATGTTTCTGTTAAAAGAAGTAGAAAAGAATTATTGAAGCAGATTTTGGGTTAGTCCAAGCTTCTTGGTAGAAAATTACTTTTGAGACATGTTTGTTCCTAAAAATATCAGCTGAAGTCAAGATTTGGAGTTTTATCAGACCACAACAGCATGCAGTATAAGACCATTTGTATTATGCTATGTCCATATTCATTGGTTACTCAGATGAGAGCTTGGATCATGGTGAGTGGCACATCCTGGCTTGCATGTACTGAGGATGATAAGTGTAAATGGAATGTATGTGATCCACACAGTTGGTACTCAGGATGTCAACTTATATCTGTACATGAAGTCTGTGACTCTAAGATCTTCAATAAACATTCTTCTGTGTGAATCTTTTGAGGCCTTGATTGACTGTAAAACATCAAGTAAAATTGAGGACTGGGATCAGAGTGCTTCAAGGTTCCCTCTAACTACCACATATGTTAATGATGCCCATTTGCTTTCATCTGTAAAGGAGCCATTGGCTCCACTGAGAACATGGTGTTTCTGGCTCCCTTTTGGTTAGGGTGTTGGATGAAGAAGAGAATATTCTGCCCACACATCCTTAAAGTTCAGGGATTCTGAGTTTAATTCTTCCTCAGTAGGCTGCAGGTCTCCACTGATAGCAGTTTATGGTCAGGATGTTTCTTCTCTTGGATTGCCTGGACTCCTTTCACACAGGGCTTGGTCCTTGGCTACTTGATATCAGTGTTTGGCCTAGGAAGAGTTCTCCATTGTGGTTGGAGCAGGTTCCATTTAAATTGTCTCTTCAAACTGTGCTTCCTAGGGTCAACATTAAGTCTGACCACGTATCTCTCATTGGGTTGTCAGGAGCTCCCTTGATTTTAGAGTTTGTGGTTTATCTTCATGAAGGTCTATTGTTGGCCTGTAACATTTCCACTTTTGATTTTGCCTGGTTTGTTCTATGAGCTTTTTATAAGCTCTGAATTCTTTCAAATCAATATTTGTCCCAGACCTCCTTCTTCATTTGGTCCTTGGTGTCTTCCGAATAAGATTGGAGCTGGGCATATATGTTTTCTTGTTTTTGTCTGGGTGTTCTTTCTTTATAGGGATGGCCCAGCCCCACTTCTATTCTTGATTAGGGCCTAGGCATATCATAGTTGGGACTGGACTCAGAACTCCTCCTTTTCTCAGTTTTGGCCTGCTCTTTGTTAGCATTAAGGTTTTGATGCAACTGGCCCACATCTCTTCTTGCTTAGGTCCATACACTGTCAGGGTAAGGATTATAGGCATTTTTTTTCTTGCTTTGACCTTGGCCTCTTTCATTTAAGAGAGTGTCCCAGGTCGTCTTCTCTCCTTGTTTTGGCTCAGGTTTTTGTCAGGGTAAGTGTTAGGCCCCTGTGTTCTCCTTTTCCTGCTTTGCCCCTGGCCTCTTTTATTTGAGGGATTGGTCTGGGCCCACATCCTTCCTTAGTTTGGCCCAGTCTTCTTCAGGGTCAGAGGTGTGCTGAGGCCAACTTCTCCTCTTGGTGAGGGCCCTGGCTTCAGTCCAGGTAAAGTTCAGGCATGGATATTCTCCTTTTCTTTCTTTGAGCCAGATCTTTTTCTTCTGAGGGATAGGGTAGGACTCATCTTCCTCTTGGTTGGGGCCAGCCTTCTTCATGGTCAAGGTTAGGCATGGGCAGTCTTTTCTTTTCTTTTGGTTTCATTTCATTTTGTTACTTTTCCTTCTTCTCCTTTGCCCGTGGCTCTTCCATTTAATGGACTGGCCCAGGGATACCTCTGTTTTCCTCTGGGCCAGAGCTTATGCAGCTTCAGGTTTTGGTGAAGGCCTCTTTTAGGTCAGGGTTTGGCATTTTCATTCCTAGGGTTGGTCACTGGCCTTTCTGGGTAAGGGAAGCAATTGCTAATGTAGGCATTATTCCTGGTCTTCATCAGGTTCATCCTCAGGCCTTGGATAACTTCTCTCTTGACATCTCAGCCTAATGTTTAATACTGGTCTACTTTCACTTTAGGTGCTTAGCATCGGCTTTTTCAGGGGCCATGTTGGCCTTGGGTACTTTCAGGATATGGCTGTGTCCAGGCAGTTTTTGTGTTAGAGTTAAGCCTGGTTACATTGATATTCTGGGAATATTGGTACATATTTCTCTTTAGAGTTGAAGCGGGGCATACTTTTGAGTGTAGGTTTGACTGAAGCTACTCTGTATTTGTAATTAGCCTTGGATTATGCTCAGCCTTTCTGAATAAAAATAACATGTGGATATTGATAGAGGACTGTATTTATTGTGCTTCTCTTACATCTCAAGTATATTCTGAAGTATATTGGCTCCTTGCAAGAGAAATGGGCACAGACACCAGCACACAGCACAGACTCCAGATGAAATATTCTACATATTACACAAATAGAAAGGTGACATAGGGAGGAGACAGTGGTGCTTGGGAGAGTCTTGCTGCTGCATTGGTGACTGTGGCCACCATGTGCAAAATTGTTGCTTCTCAGTAAAGATAACAAAATAGTGTCCCAACAAGTTCTCTGCTGCCTTCCCTTCCTTCTGTGGTCTGCTCCCATGAGGATGCATCACAGGAAGTTAATTTAACAGCAGAGGCTGGTCCTGCATTGACCTAGAGGCTGCCTTGATAGGCACATAAGGGTTGTGCAGATCTTCATGAGGCCTCTTATGCAGTGTGGGCATGGCGTCCTCTCCTGTTTGTCGTTCATGGCGTGTACTATGAGGGTGTTCCTCTGGTTCTTGCTATGGAAACACTTCTCAAAATGTCATTTGTCTTCTACCTTGAAAATCCCTGGAACAATGAACCATGCCTTTGTGATCCCTTTTAAGAAAACTCCTCGTCATGTCCTCTCACTAATGTGACATCAGGTCTTCCCATAAGGAACATCTGCACTGACTTACCAGATTATTTCTGTTCATGTTATTATTGTTGTGAATCACAGCCCACTTTAGTAGAGTGATCTGCCAACCTTTCAAGGTTACAGATGTAACCATGACAATGATCCCTTATGTAGTGTCACAGAGGCCAGGCCACACTCAGCTCAGGGAAGCACAAAGTTGGTGAAGCTATGCAGATGTCTTTAGACTGGTAATTAGGGAAGGTGCCTGGAGACTTCAGTTTTCCTCATTGCCTGGGGACAATTTCCCATCCAATCATCATTTCCTACTACAGAACTTCATTGCTGAGAAGAGGAAGGTCATTGGGGAAAGGTCAGACTCAGTCCATATGTACACAGTACAAATATTTGTCTATCATTTCTGATGCTCAGTTTATCATCAAGAGTCTCTCATCATGAGCTTGTATTGTGCCATCTGCAGGACCTGCAGCTTGGGGAACAGAGCTGTTTGAAATTTGCCCTCCAGCCTGTTCCTTCACCATCATTAAAGACACCTTGAAGTGGGATTGAACAGAAAGTAGAAAGCCATGAAGCTTTCCTTACCACCTCTCATCATGGTAGTTGATGACTTCTGAGGCTGTCACTCACTGGATACCAGTGTAACAGCAGTTCATCCTGTCCCATTTGGAAAGTGGAGTCCTGGGACAGGTGCTGACTCTGCCTCAGCTGTTGTCACATTTTCTAACAAACACAAGTGGAGATTAGCAGTAGAATACAATGGACATATCCCCCTCTGAGAATACCCCTTCCCAATCTCCCACTGTCCCTTGCCTTCATGCCTCTCTCCTTCCCTAAAAGGCTTCTCTCAAGGCTGGTCACAGATTTCCAGCAATCCTTCCAACTCAGTCTCCTTAGCGTTGGGTTTCCTTTTTATTCTTCTTTTCCATAGATGCTTTTTTCTTGCCCTAACATGATATTTGAAGGACAATGGGAAGGAGGCACCTTAGAGATCTAAGGAGTTAGTCAAGGTATCATAGTTTTTCATTCCTCTACCTTAGTGCAGATGGAAACCTACACTTAAGAATTGTGGCATGCAAAAAGAAAGAGAACAAAACCGAATCAACATCTTTTATTACTGGTCCTCAACCAATCAAATCTCAGTTATAAAAGAAAAACTGTGGGTAAATTCTTCCTGTGATTTCTAGATGAAGTGTAAGCATTGTTCTACCCTCAGAACCAAACAGGATTTAGGGAAGGGTGGCCTCAATTAAACCAGCTATCTAATCACAGAGCTTGAAATCCTTTTCCTGTCTGCAGCAGCAGAACCTCGAAGAAAAGTTATACAGTTGCCCAGCAGGGATACCTCTTTGTGGTCTCAGCCTGGATGCCTGTGGCAGCAGTTGCAGTAGGAACAGCCCACCTGGAAGTCTTCGGGTCAACATCATTGTATCCTGGGAACCCACAATTTCCTGTTCTCCACCAAGTTCTGGATGGCCAGTAAGTGTTTTTAGACTTACTTGATGGTGGTGATTTACTGTAATCTGAAAGTGCAGTGGAAGAGGAAGGAGAAACTGAAAACTTATCTGTGCTTGGTGTCAAATGGTATCTGAGGGACTTAAAATGTGACATAGATTGTAGATATCCACCTAAGAAAGATCCTGAAACATCGACACATTGTTAGTAACATTGTAGACAACATCAGTGCTCTAGAAGCATGCAAGTTCCATGCACAGAATGAAGCATGATCAAGCATGCCCCACCACACTGTAATAGTGCTACCACCCCATTGTAAAGGATGAAGACACCATCACTGTTATGTCACAATACACACATGCTTGTTTCCATAAAACACACACAAATATGTGCCCACATTCATACATTTAAGAAAATGTATGTGTCTACACCTTTGCATGCACACACACACAGACACACAGACACACACATACACACACAGAATTATACTTTGAAATTCAAATTAGATGTACAATAAATTGGCATAACAAGAAATTAAGTATAAACAAACAATCTTTGTGGCATTGGTATGCATGTGTATGGTATGCATGTTGTATGCAGAACTATGAGTATAGTTATGTGCATATTTTTATAAGTATCTATATGTTATACCTAATATGTACAACCACATCTAACTGCATATACATGTGTATATAAATATAAAGATAAACTGAAATCCCAGCTGTCAGAAACCAGCCAAGTAGGCAGCAGAACTTTCTGAGTGGCTGGCTTGATGTGTCAGCTCTTTCCTGCCTTCAACTCTGAGTGCCTATTATGTTTATTAACAGTATCATTCATTTGAAACAATTCTGCACAAACTTTTCACAATGCCATTAATATTAAAATATTCTCTAACTTTCAGAACCAAAAGAAAACCCTCTAAGGCAGAAAGCCACGAGTCGATCATGAAAAGTACCAGGGATGGGCCAATGAGATGGGTAGTTGGGTGGAAGGAAAGAGCTGACTCCTCCTATTTGTTCATTGACCTCCATATGAACAGAATGACAAAATGGCATGGCGTGTAATCTATATTCATTCTCTCTCAACCATATGTATGTATTTATTTCCTCATCACAAAATAAGCAAATAGGTAGATAGATGTTATTATTTTAAATACCAATCAGAAGATTTCTATACACTTATCATATGATATAATTAATTTTTAAAATAACAATAAAAAATCTCATGCAGCTCACAACTGTTTGTAACTCCAGGACCAGAGAAGTTGACACCCTCACACAGGCATACATAAAGGCAAAACACTAATGTGCATAAAATAGTGAATAAACAATTAAATATTTGTTGGATCTAGTGGCGTCAGGAGCCCCACAAGCATCCACAGAACTAACTAACCTAGGTTCATAGTGACTCAGAGACTGAACCACTAACCAGGGAGCATGCATGGGACTGACCTAGGTCCTCTGCATGTATTTTACAGTTGTATAACTTGATCTTCTTGTGAAACTCCTAACAATGGGAGCAGGGCTTGTCTCTAATGCCTGCTTTTGGGACCCATTCCTCCTACTGAATTGCTCCATCTAGCCTGAATGTAAGAAGTCATGCCTAGTCTCACCACAACTTGATATAACATGGCAGGCAGATATGCACAGGAGGCCTGCCCATTTCTGAAGAGAAAAAAGAAGAGGAGGAATGGATGGGGAGCAGGAAGATTGGAGGGTGGGGGAGGGACTGAAAGGAGAGGATGGAGGAGAAATTTTGGTTAGGATGTAAAAACAAAAATAAACAAATAAATAAAACCAAATTTATTTAAAAAAAGAGGAAGAATGTTGATGGTTACCATATTTAAATTTGAGATACTAAAAGAATGTCCCTCCAGGGACATTGCCACTTATTCTAACTTTATAATGTGTTTGCAGTTGTACAGGGATTGCTGGGGATGTCTTTCTGTATGCTGTGAATGTGTTGCTCTGAGTGATTGATAAATAAAACGCTGATTTTTCTACTTTGTAGTGGGTGTCCATGGAGTATGCTATTCCATCTGCATACAAGGTGCCATCCCTCTGTATAGCCCTGAGACCTATGGCTGAGAAATCCTTGTGCAGCCCAAGATTCCTGTAACTGGCTGAGATACATCCAAGCCTGTGAGTTCAGGGTTTACAGCAGTGTGAAACCTCACGTGACTAAAGAAGAGTCTCAGAGTGAAGCTGAAATTGGATTTTATTCATAAAAATACATTCATTTTACTCAATGGGGTCTTTCAAAACAGCATTCCTTATATACAATGTATAGCCTTAGCTAACTATTAAAACCCAATAACAAAAATTAACAAAACCTTAAACTAAAATAAAGAAAACCAAAATCTAAAGCATAAATATACCAACATATAAACAAAAAATATTAAGCAAATTTCAGGAACCTTTGGAATTTCATTATGGAAGAGCAAATGAGGTGAGGAACTGGCTTATTCTCTGCAGTGAATTATCTTCAGCAACACTAGCACATGACATGGCATCAGCTTTAGCATTGCACTAGAGAATCTTATGCTTTGGGTGTGGTCTGTATGGATGGCAGTATGATGTTAACACAGTCTTCCTTTCCAGATTTCAATCACATACGGAATCAGCTCATCAAAGCCCTTGATAGGAAGCTCACAGAAGAAATCTTGCTCACCCACATGTCTTCTTCCATGTTGTTTTGCCCCTCACTGGGGCCACGTGCTGATGGATGTCAGGGTTCTTAGTAATTTATGTTGTGTCCTCTGAATCTTAGACTCTTTCTGATACAATCTTTTCTCTGGGAATACTGAGCCAATGGATGTGGATCAAACTGTGGCTGGACTGCCTGATGGTAGGTTGATATGTGCCTCACTAGTGAGTTCACACCTGAAAAGAGGTGGCATTTTCTGAGGAGGCCGTGAACCTGGAGTATAGAATGTCATGCCTTCAAGGTGTCTCTGGCTTCTTCCAGCCTTCTCAGTTTTCTGAAGAGGTGCTGTCATGGAAAATCGGTAAAGAAAATAGGATTCAGAAACAGTTTTGCTTGCCACTGTCAAGAACAATCAGGGCCTATTCATCCCTAGTAAACAAAAGTTAAGAAAGAAAACACACCCCATGAACACCCTGGCTGCTGGGGATGGGGCTCAATGGTGTCTTACTTGCCTGGAACATAGTGTTTCTGCCCCAGCAGCTCCATCTGCAGGAGGCTCTCTTCCTGGGCTGTGGTCTGCTCCAGTTCCTGCTGGAGGTTTTCAAACCTAGGGGAGGAAGGCAGCTGGGGCACAAACCTTGTGGGGACCTGCCCTGTCAGCTTTGAGCCCCCACCAGCTCTACTCAGCTAGACAATCAAGCATTACCTTTCAGCTGAGTTCATTCCCTGCTTCCCTACGGGAAAAGGGTCAGAGAGTACCTGGGCAAGATTTTTTTCTCAGCTTTTAAAAACTGCTAGAAGTTGAACTGGAAAATACACACTTTGCTGGATTAGAAAAAAAACAGCATATTTCTCCAACAGTCCAAAGACATAATTTTGGAGAAATATCAGTATGTCAATGTCTGAGGCACAGTTCAGGAAAGATGTAGCTGGCCTTGAATAGATACAGGTGAATGTGAACTTCCTGGAAATCTCTCTGCCCGCCCTCTAGTGGAGCCTACACAGCAGTGCAGAAAAGGCTGTGGTTATTCCTACAGCTCAGAACCCTGCATGGGGTTAACTTGTGAGCTCCTACTCTGTTAATGACCAAGAGTAAATCTTCTCATGGGAAACTGATAAACACTGCAGAGAGACTGCACTCAGCAAGGGTGTGCTGTATGCAAATCTGCAAAAGGTGGACACTTCTCTCTAAAGGTGATGTTCCTGATGGAAAAGATGCAGGGGAACACTTTCCTTCTTGATCAATGATCCTCCTTTCCAGGTTTCTGGCTGCCATGGGAATATTCATGGGCAGATCTAATCTAATAGATGAGATACTAGAGCATACTAGAGGTCTCAGAAGGGAAGAAGGGGACACAGTCCCCATGAGACCACGGAGAGAGCATATTGTTTCCTGGTCATAATTCTTGTTGACTGAGCCAGCAACGACACTCTGAGGAGTTCTTTCCATGCCCGTGGCTGGCAGCTTTGCCAATTGACAAAACTCAAAGAGCACGGAGATCCAGGTACAGCGGACCCACTTGGATCCACCTGCTTCTGGAAGCCTGGGCTCCTACCTCATCTGGGACACAGTGAAGTGATGCTGCAGCTTTACTGCTAATTCCCTTTGCTTGGTGAGCAGCTCCTTCTGCTTCAACAGGGACTGAAGATTTTCCTCAAGTCTTTGATGTTCCTGTTCATTAGAAGATTGTTTTTTAGGGGAGGGCATCCTCACCATGTACATAAACATGCACACATACACACACACATTCTATCAACTATCTATCTATCTATCTATCTATCTATCTATCTATCTATCTATCTATCTATCTATCTATCTCCAGCACACACATGTATATGGA